GAATCACTATGTGAAAGTACACGTCCTTCATGTCGAGGGCGGCATACCCAGTCTCCCGGATCCAGAGATGGGATAATGGTGGCTAGGGAGACCATATGGAACTTCAACTTTACCATGAATTTGTTGAGCCCACGCAGGTCCAGGATGGGTCTGAGGACCCCCCGCCCCCGCCCTTGGCCTAGGGGATTAGGAAGTATCAGGAGTAGAATCCCTTGCCCCTTAGCTCCGAAGGAACCTCCTTCATCGCTCCCATGGCGAGGAGCACCCGCACCTCCTGGATAAGGAGCTGCTCATGAGAGGGGTCCCTGAAGAGGGACGGGGAAGGCGTGGGTGGGTGGGAGGGAGGGAGAATAGGAGCAGAACTGGAGAGAGTATCCCACTTCCACAGTGCAGAGGAACCAGCAGTGCAGGGTTATTTGGGACCATGCATGGTAGAAGAGGGACAAACAATTCAAAAAGGGCGGGGAAGGATCCGGGTGCGAGTTTGGTGTGCTGTCCTCGGGCGTCCCTTCAAAAGGCCTGCTTGGAACCCAACGATGGTTTGGTCGGGCCTTGTCCTTGTCCAGACGGGGGGGTTGGAAGACTTCCTTCTGCCATTCCTTCCCCTCTGCCTCAAAAAGTCCTGCCTTGCCCAAGGAGGGTAGGAGCGCTGCTGCGGCTGTTGGGGTTTGAAGTGCTTCCGTTAAGTTGCCGGGGTGTGCATAACCAAGGACTTCATAGTCGCCCTTGAGTCCTTTAGGCTATGCAGCCGAGAGTCGGTCTGCTCCGCAAACAGGCCTGCCCCATCAAAGGTCCTGCATGGTCCGCTGAACCTCAGGCGGTAGGCCCGAGGCTTGCAACCAAGAGGTGTGCCTCATGGCAATACCTGAGGACAAGGTACGCACCACTGAGTCCACAGTGTCCAGTGAGACCTGTAAAGAGGTCCATGCCACCGCCTTGCCCTCCTCTACTATAGCCCCAAACTCCTTTCTGGACTCAGGTGGCACAAGCTCCTTGAACTTGAGCATCGAGTTCTAGGAGTTGAAGTTATATCGGCTCAGGATTGCCTGCTGGTTGGCAATCCTGAGCTGGAGCCCCCCCAGTAGAGTACACCTTGCGGCCAAATAAATCCAGGCACTTGGCCTCCTTGGATTTAGGCGCTGAGGCCTGCTGCCCCCCTCTCTCTCATTTACAGCCGCAACCACCAGTGAGCAGGGCTGTGGGTGCGTAAAGAGGTATTCATACCCCTTTGAGGGCACGAAATACTTCCTCTTGACCCCTTTGGCTGTAGGGAGGATGGAAGCCAGAGTCTGCTAGACAGTCTTAGCACTGGCCTGTATAGTTTTGATGAGGGGCAGAGCCACCCTTGAAGGACCTTCTGGGGCTAGAATATCTACCACCAGGTCCTCTGAGTCTACCACCTCCTCGGCCTGCAGGCTCATGTTACACGTCACCCTGTGCAGAAGGTCCTGGTGGGCGTGGCTGTCTATGGGCAGCCCAGAGACAGAAGTGCCTGTGACGGCCTCATCCAGGGAGGATGACTAAAATTCCAATAGGGGAACCAGGTCCTCCTGACCCTACTGCTCATCAGGAGCCTGATGACCTGCTTTGCTGTTCGCCTCCAGCTCAGGGACCGGAGTTGGTTCCGAGGGGAAGCGGGGGCACGGCACCTCCTCAGCACCCCTACGGGTGGGCTGACTGGCTTAGGCCTCTGGCACCCTCAGTCCAAAAGTGGCCAATTGGGAGCCTTTAGACTGGGCACCCTGGGCCTGGTGGTACACCCCTGGGGTCCCGAATGGCCACTGAGCTGGTCCCTGCCACTGCGCAGGCCATGGCCCTGCCCCCACCTCAGAGCATCCACGGCCTGACCGGTCCCACTCCGAGTACCTAGACCCCGCCTCCGAGCCCAAGGACCAGAGCCACTCCTCCCGCGCTTCTGCGCCAGGGAGTGGGAGTGGTGCCAGGCCGATCCCACCGATTTCGGCACCAGGGAGTGGCGGTGCTGCGGGTCTCTACCAGAGTCCCTCTGCAGTGCCGCTTCCACCGCCACTGGGGCACTACGCACCAAAGAACTCGGTGTCAGGTCCTGCCACACCAAAGGAGGCTGAGGTCTACGTGCCGCCTCCATAAGGAGCTGCTCAAGGCAAGAGTGTCGCTTCTTTTTGGTTCTAGGGCGAAACCCTTTGCAAATCCTGCACCTATTGGCTTGATGAACCTCCCCCAGACACTTCAGACAGTTCCAATGACCGTCACGGGCGGTAAGAAAGAACTGAGGGGGTGCCAGGTCAGCAGGGTCATATATTAAGTGCAATGAAGGTGCCACTCCAAGAGGCTCCACAGCCGACCGACAGGAGCTGCTAGGGGAAAAACTTTCCCACGACTGTGCACGCAGCATGTGCACACCTAATTGGAATCGATATGAGCAATCACTCAAAGAAGAACTTTCAAACTTCCAACAAGAACATTTTTACTTATGTTTTAGTTAATGAAGGATTTTCTCAATATAATCATAAGAATTGCATTAGCTGTATTGGAGGACCGTTGCAAGTAATTTAATCATAACCACCCACCCAAGAAGTTTACTGCGTCACATATTGCGCTGTCATTAATCTCTCTTAAATTTCCTATCAGATAGGCACTAAACATACATGAAAAGCTTTGAGTTACACTAGAAATAGCTAGTAACCAGAGTAGCAGTTGAGCAAATATTAATGCTTTAGAGAAATGTTACGTGCTCAGAAAAATACACATTTTAAGCTTTCACTCCTGAGGCTAGTAATCGTGACCAAATCCACCTGAGGGAGAGCTGTGCAGTATCATGCAGGATATTGACTATCAAAAGGGATCCTGGCTAGTGGCTTGGTCTTTTTATTGTTATTAAACTACAGTCACATACATCCCTCCTGGGAAGGGGCAGAAAACTTTGTCTTCTGACTCGGACAGAAAATAATTCACCTGAACACAAGGTTTATGTGAAACTTGACACACTTTTCCCTTGAGCTTCCGTCCAGTTCCATAAGATTGTCTCTCTTTTTTCGGGAGAGGAGGGAACGACAAAGACAACCATGGAATCCTCCAGGGAAAAAGAGCCATTTTATCCCCAAGATCTTCTGGGAGTATAAGTAGACCCTAAGAAGATATAGGGAAGAGCCCCATCTGGCATTAGAAAACCTGAGGAACGAAGAACCCCTCTACCCTAGTTGTTTTCTGCTGCTGTAGTCTGGTCCAAAGAGCTCCTGACGGGCTAAACACAGCTTGCCTGAGCAGATGTGCCATAATTATGTTCTTAATTCAAAAGTTAAGCACGTTTTAAATTAGAGTTTAAATCAACTCAACTCTGATCCTCTGCACTAGATCTCAGCTAGGGAAGTTCTGTAAACTAGACTCTTGGTGCTTCAAAGTGGCAATAAAAAGTTAGAAATGTTCCAAAAAAGTCTATTGTTAGGGGGCAATGTCTCAAACTTTCTGTCCAATTTGTTTCAAATTTGGTAGGGGAAAAAAAACCTGACATGGCCACAAGCCTAGCCTGGGAATTTTGAAACCAATATGACTTTTTGTGGATCTTGGGAAGGAAGAGCTGCCAAAAATCTAGTTTATAATAGAAACTCAGTTGCTCTTTTAAGTACAGAGCACAGCTACTTCAACTCCATAATAAGACCTGTGAAATTAGGTTGCCTGGTATAACCAGCAGGAGAGAAGCTCTCATTCAGCTAATTGTGCTGAGCCCTTGTTTCTGTCACTTTAGACTGATCTGAGGTTTCCCACTCCCTCCACCAAGGTCCACCTTGTACTTCCTCCTCTCTATAATCAGACTATGAGAGCTGAAGTACCTATGTAAACATGCAGAATTTGACCGAATTAAAAGATGGAAATCTGCATTGGCAGAAAAACTTGGACACAAAACTTAGCAGGCAAGAAAGTTTGCCACTAGTGTACAAGCGGCATCTAAAACCTCTTCCCAGTAGGCATAAATAAGGTCGGGGGGGGGAAGGGGAGTTACGAGGAAGGTTGAGATGTCACAGATGGACACCATTTGGATAAGGAGAAGAGTTTTGATCCAAGATTTAAGCACAACTTCTAGACCAAATTAAGAATGTCCAACAAATCCCTGCTCAGAAGAGGGACTTCCAAGAGAGTCAAGACAGACTGCAGAAAGAACAGACTGACAATTTAGGCATCCCTGGTTTAGTGCCATTGACTCAAGAGGAGTCACACCAAGACACTGTCCTGCACAACTCCTCCACTAATATTTTCATGTATTAAGAATGTAGAAGTTAAGGGAGATGCCTCATTTACACACGAATCTTAACAAAAAGCATGCAGAAATTCAGATCACTGACACTGAATCTTGCTTCATTTCTGGTCCTTGATTTTGACTGATTACTATCCTTGACAAGGAGCAAGATAAATTTTTTGAAGAACAATCAAGGAGCAACTAAATTTAATTTATTTCACTTTACATACCCAAATACTGTATAAAGCCCCTTAACTACATTAAAGATAAAGTTAATTGCCATTGTGCTCTGAATTAGAAAACTCAGAGGCTATTAATACAAAGTTAAAGTGAATGGCTTACTGAATCTGAGTGGTGCAGGGCCAAGCCCCAGCGGCGTAGTGCCACAAAGCAAGTTCTGGCCCTGTTAGGCACACAGCTCCTAATAACTTTGTTGCATGTGCATATCGAAGTGAAGCATTTAGCCCTTAAAACTCAGCATTAGCAAAGCTATATTTTTGGGAAGAAATTGCTAAAACAGCTTTTCATTGTTTTTAAGTATACTGAAACTCAACAACACAAGTCACTCACAAATGTTCCCTCAATAAAGTTATCAATCCTTCAACACCCTCTTTTTTATTCCTATTATTATTAAGCTACATAGATGCATGTTGGCTGTCAGTTTCCCGTAAGGAGGCTTAGTCAGTAAGTACAGTGACCTCATTAATCCTCTCAGCACAATACTCAGTCACTCAACGACTGACAAATATGATGTAAGTGTTTAAGTTATTGCACATATAGCACTTACCCCATATTGGCAGGTCATCAATATACATCTGATACCAATAGTGATTTTTGATAGCATACACAAATGCATCTCTCTTTGCTTTGTCCAAGTCAATTTCACAGTATGTGGTCTGCATTACATCATCTGCAGAAATTAAAATAATATGTTAATGACATATTAATGATAGCTCTAACTAAAACACAAATTAAGCAGATGGGGGAGAGGGGAATGCATATTTCCAGAGCTTGAAATTCCTACTGGTTGTGCATCCTCTGGCAGGTAACATGTGAGCAGCACACTTAAGAAAGTAAGCACTGAGGTACCTAAACAAATGTCCCTGCTTCTCCATTCTCCCCCAAACACAGAAATAACAAAAAAGTTTTAGATCATCATATTACTACTTTATCCACAAATAGATTAAGATACACTTGTTAATAGTTTCTTTATCTGAAGAGGTTAAGTGAGGACTCATGAAGCAGCAGCAGCAAACGGACATTAACAGTCATTCCCAAAGGCCATCTTGTGTTAGGAACATTTGCAGAGCCCATAAGCAATTTTAAAAGTGCATTAGTATATTTAGTTAGTTATCTTGTATTTGTGAAATTACCAACCCCACCTCTGTACTTCCAAGCTCAGTCATTAGTCACTCAGTCCCATTCAAATATCCCCATTGGCACTAGCAATATGGCTCACTTCAAAAAGAACATGTTTTTCAGCTATTTAGTAGTCTTCAAAAAAAATATAGAGAGGGAGCAAAGCAAATGGAAAGATAGACTTAACAGAGGACAAAAATGGGAAGGTGACAAAGAAGGTAGAAGATGACACATGGAAAAGGAAGTGAACCTGCCATTTCAAATTGGAAAGCTATGTTAATTACTGAAAATTCAATATAAAAGTGTGGTTAACGGGCAAGTACTTTCAAGTAGCTGCCATGTTATTGAGTAATATTTTATGCGATGTCTGGATTTCAAGCCTTGCATTTCTTTCTAAAGGGAGACAAGTTAAAAGCACATTTTTAAAAAAAAAAATGCTTATTCTGGTAGTAACACTTTAAATTATTAAAGCTAGAGTTCTAAAAATCTACTTCACAACATGCTAGTCTATTTTCATTATTCAATCTGAGTGAAATCATCAACAGTGAAAATGAGTTTTTAGGCCAGATGTTCTCAAACTATCATACTGTGGACACAAGCTAATGGAGATAAGCTCACAAACGAACTCTTCATCCAACTCTGGGCAGTGAGGCCACTTCACATTTCCAGCCTGAGATTCTAAGCTCTTTTGGGCAGGAACTGTCACTATTTGCACTATGCCTAGCACAATGAGACCTTGTCTGGCTAGGGTTACCATACGTCCGGATTTCCCCGGACATGTCCGGCTTTTTGGTACTCAAATCCCCGTCCGGGGGGAATTGCCAAAAAGCCGGACATGTCCGGGGAAATAGGGAGGCAGCATAAGCCAGGGTCCGCCTGGCCCTAGCACGACCCGCCGGGTCCGCAGTGCAGCCCAGCCGCCCGGCTACATTGTAGTGAGTTCGGGCGGGGGAAGGGGGGGGCGCAGCCGCAGAAGGTGGCGAAGGGGCCACTGCTGCCCCCGGAGGCCGGGCGGACCGCGCGCCCCAGCCGAGCCCGCAGGACCACGGGGAGGCCGGGCCCAGCCAACGGCTCGGGCTTCCCTCACGGGCGGGGACTCCCCGGCCACTGGGGGACCCTTCCTGCGGCCCCATCACCCCGCGGGGCAGGGAGTGCGGTGTGTGCCAGGGCTGCAGGGACCCGCGCTGCCCCGGTCGCCGCTGAGCATCCAAAGCCCCCGCCAGGCAGAGACTGCCGGGGGAGCGGGGGAGCTGGGCAGGCGGAGGGGTGCAGAGGCTGCAGGGCGAGGAGGAGCTGGGCAGGCAGGGGCATAGAGGCTGCAGGGGCAGGGGGGCACAGGGGCAGGGCAGATGGGGGCGCAGAGGCTGCAGGGGCAAGGGGGGTGCAGGGTGAGTGGGGAGCAGGGGGCACAGGGTCTGCAGGGCGAGGAGGAGCAGGGCAGGCAGGGGCATAGAGGCTGCAGGGGCAGGGGGGTGCAGGGGAAGGGCAGGTGGGGGGCGCAGAGGCTGCAGGGGCGGGGGGGGGATGCAGGGCCAGTGGGGAGCAGGGGGCACAGAGACTGCAGGTGGGGGGGGGTGCAGGGGCTGCAGGGCGAGTGGGGAGCAGGGAAGCACTTAGCAACCCCCAACCAAGATCAGAGCAGGAGGGAGGAGGGGGAATGTGGGGTGCTCAGAGGAGGGGGCAGAGTTGGGGCAGGGACTTTGGGGAAAGGGTTGGAATGGGGGTGGGGAAGGGGTGGAGTTGGGCGGGGCTGGGGGCGGGGAAGGGGCAGAGTTGGGGCGGGGCTGGGGGCAGGACCGGGGCCCCGTGGAGTGTCCTCTTTTTTAAATGTTTGAATATGGTAACCCTAGAGTCCTCTAGATGCTACTGCAATGTTCTTGCTTACATAAAAAAGGTGTTAGGAAGTTAATCTATTTTCAGCTGCGCTAAAATAACCTGGTAGTTGGAAACAACAACTTCAATGCCATTCAACCAGTCAGCACTCTGCAAATGGCTACCAAGAGCTCTGGATGACAGACCACTTTGAGATCAGTTTTAGGCCATTTCACTATCAGGTTCTCATGCCTGGCACAATGTGATGCTGGCAGGGCACACACAACGTTCTGTTTGTTTTTTTAAACTGATCCCATTCAGTTCTCATTTTTAATTCACAGAAACATTTCTGTTGGTCCTTACCTTTCTGAAGGGTAATTTTAGGCCAAATTTGACCTCTGGATGTGTTTAACAATTGCTCAGAGATCAAAACAAAAGCATCTATTAGTAGAACATTATGATTCTTGTTAAGTATAAAATGGTCAAAGAATGGCAACACCACAGCAAGTGAAATGATGTTTTATTTTGGAAAAGTGTAATTCCCCCTCTTAGTGACAAATCCAAAGCTTAGGGACGCTAATTGCTTTTTCTAATTAACGTTACGCTGACTAAAAAAAGTGTTATGGCAAAACCCTGCCAACCAGAGACATTTTATGAATATGCTCCGGAAAAATATAAGCTCAACCTCAGCATGGGCAACTAATATCCATTGTTCAGCGACACCTTCAGATTCATATACAACTCTGAACTCCCTGGCCTTTGTCTTCTTTAACACAAACCTTTAAATGTGTGAAAAGGTAAATGCCAGGAATCTGCAAGTCCATTACAATATTTGTACACACATTGACACAGTACTAGTTTTGTTTTTAATCAAATGATAAACATCTGAATACAGAAGTAAACTCAGACAATGCATAAGCAAGATTACTAAAGTATAGCCATGTAAATTGATGCATAATTGTCCTTTTTGACTCTGTTATTTAGTTGTATTTCAGAACCTAAGCACTAGCTTGCGGTTGTGAAGAAAGACTTTAAAATGTTAATTAACAGAAACTAGCATAGCAAATGTCTGCCTCAGGGCTTGCCTGCACAGGGAGTTATTCCAGAATAGCTATCTAGCTTTAGGGCTTGTCTACACTTACCGGAGGGTCCGGAGGCAGGCAATCGGTTTTCTGGGATCGACTTATCGCGTCTAGTGAAGACGCGATAAAATCGATCCCTGATCGCTCTGCCGTCGACTCCGGAAATCCACTGCGGCAAGAGGCGGCAGCGGAGTCGACGGCAGTGCGGCAGTGGTCGATTTTCCCCCGTCCTCACAGCCAGGTAAGTCGACCTAAAATACGCAACTTCAGCTACGGTATTCACGTAGCTGAAGTTGCGTATCTTAGGTCGGACCCCCGCTGTAGTGTAGACCTAGCCTTAAATACACACCCTCTCTTAATCCGAATTAACTTTCAAGTGTAGACAAGCCCTCGCTAGCTACATCCTCACCCAAAACTTGCAACTTATAACCATGATTCCACTTTCTCCACATTCTCACCCACACATCACTGCACTCCTAGGTTGTGCATAGGCAGCTTGTGTGGACGTACCAAAGCTAGCTTGAGTATTGGAGCAGCAAAGTTGTGGCAGCGCAGTCTTCAAGCACAGGCTGCACAAGCTTGTCTGAAACCTGGGGTAACTATTTGGATGTCTAGCTCACACCAAAGCCTGCACTGCCACAACTTCACTGCTCCTGTACCCACGCTAGCTAGGTTAAAGGTATATCTACATGAGCTGCAATCACAACCCGATTGCAGTACAGACATACCCACATATGCCTCCACCTTTCAGATGCACACACAACAATCACCTAGTATTGCCAATAAAGTGGAGTGGTTAGAAAAGGAACTTCTCTAGTTGTTTGGAATGTGGGTCTCTTTTGAAGCAAATGTTGGATGATTATGTTTAAGAGTATCATGCTGAACAACTACATGGAAGTAGTTTGTAACAATTTGTGATTTTGAGAAGTTGCTCACTATACCTTCTAGGAATATTGCCATGAGTAAGTAGTGTTTTCCTTTTCCCCCCCTCCAATAGCTGATGCTTGTGGTTGGAGTTAAAGTAGCAAGTTTTGTGCAGAGATAAAGGGAGAGGCATGTGTATTTTGGGTGGTGTATGTGAACAAGGCAACTTCTTCAATGAAATAACATTTCTTCAGCAAAAACAAGCATCACATTAAAAACTGAAGAATCTGGGAGTAGCATAAAAATGAATTTAATATTGAAATAAACAGAGGGCAGGGCAAAGCCAAAATTTGGGACTTCTGCCTCATTTAGATCTAATTCTGTTTCATTCAGGTTTCTATACCACACCCATTATTGAGGTTTCTTAGCGCCATCCATTATTGCATTTAGCATCCTATCTAACCGCTGTCACATCTTCCTGAAGTGCTGCATACGTGAAGCCTTTATTATACCTTTGGGTACCGATTCCTTGGTCTACAGGAAAAATTCTAAGTGATACATTAATGTACAATAAAGATGTGCTTAAAACAATTTTCATTTTTAAATCTGCAACTTTTTCTAATGAGTGTTGTACCTGTAATAATGACAAAAAATCTTCTACAGTACAACTTACTAAAGTGCTGATACATATTCCTTCACTAGAACTCAAGTGTAACAAACTGAGTCTGCCAATTCAAACACTTGTCATTTTGACATCAATTTCTTTATTGAAGTGTCACTATTAAAGATTTTG